TTACTGGTATTAATGAAAAAAGGGGAGCAAAACCCCTCATTTTTGTTTTTGATGTGTCATTCACATTTTTATTTTGTTGATATGTTTTAAGTTTTCTTGAAAACCTGTGGGGAAAAAAATTGCATTGCACTCAATTTCTGCCCCTCTGAAAAAGTAATCAACATAGTTTAAAAACCAGCTCTAATTTAATTCAATTGTCAAATTAAAGTTAAATTTTTACTTGACCGTACTTTCTCCATATTTTAACTGTCTATTTAGAGACAAATCAGAAGTAAAACATTAATTTTGTTTGTAAATATGTGAATGATGAGTGTTGAGATTTTTTTAAAAATTTCTGTCAACATTGATAAAAGGCTTCTAGAGTCTAAAACTAGTCATGGCAAGAATATTCTGAAAACATGAGGATAAGTAAGCATGATCTCAAATGCTAAAATAGAGTGTTGTGTGCTAACATAGAATAACCACAATCCAAATGTTTTGACGCTGGGAAAGTGCTGGCATAGACTCCGACATTGATTCAGAGAATATAAGATAGAGGAAAAGCAAAAGCTTTATAATTAGATAATGTTGTTGTTGCTGCTGCTGTTGTATGCCAATGAATCAGAACTGACCCATAGCTGTCCCTCCAACTGGTTTTCAGGAGCAGTATGTTTCATGGGAGATTGCCCAGACATCTCCCTTGGAGCAGCTGGTGGATTTAAACTTTATGCCTTTGGGATTGGTGCACAGCTTCTTACCATTGTTTGTTGTTGTTGTTAAGTGCCCTCGAGTCACAGGCGACTCATAGCCACCCTATGAAAGAGAGTCGTTGACACTTGGGTGCCTTTCATCCTCTCTCCAAGTTCATAGGGTTTCCGGAGGCAAGCTATTATGGAAGTGGACGCCACTCCTCCTTCCATGCCACCCCACTCTCAGTCAGCACTGGGTAGCCAACCATTAACACATTTGACACATCCGTGTCACAGTGTTCAGCCTCACAGCAACCACAAGTGACCGCGGGACGGCAACTTGTACACCAGGGCTATACAACCTAGAGGAATGTCTGAACAAAAACAATGAAAGACTGGCCAGAGGGCCACAAACTAAAAATCACCCACCTTTGCCTTTGTCACACCGTTTTCTCTTTGCTGGGCCAGCTGATATCTCTCTCTCTCTTTCTCTCTCTGTTGATGTTATTATTTTTAAGTGCTGTCGAGTCGCAGGCGACTCATAGGGAAACTATTCTAGATTTCTGATTAATTTGGAATATGAGATATGAAAGAAAAGAAGGAACCAAAGATGATAAAGTTACATTTGTGTATGTGTGTTTTATAAATGCTTTTGGTTTTCTAAAAGTATTACATATTGATTATTGTGGTTATCTAGAGTATGAAAGTGGTAACCAAAAAATATTCAAGTAAGTATTTTAAGTGTAAGGTGAGTAAAATTTATAGTAATAACATATTTCATATCAACTCATTGCTATCAAGTTGGAACCTATTCATAGCTGATCATCCTGTGAGTTTCAGGGCTACAAATCTCACAGGAGGATACTGCTCTTCCTTTTCCTTGTGAGTCACTAGTGGATTTGAAACACTGGAGAGGCACAAGTTTTGGGCTACCAACGCAAATCTCTACAGACTACAGTACCACCAGAACTCTCTCTTAACCTCATACAGATATGAAAATAATTTCCTCTATGATTTTAATACGGCTCAATATTTCTGTTAGAGAAGGAAGAACAATCTCATCTCATGTGATTTACTACCTCTGAAAACTGCTGGAATATCAACTCTGGATTAGTTCCAACTCGATGGCATACACCTACTACTTCTATGACAGAAGAATTGATGCCTTTGAGCTGTAGTGTTGGAAAAGAGTACTGAAATATCCTTGGAATTTCCAAAAGAATAAATAGGTATGTCTTCGTTAAAGTATAGCCAGAGTGCTTCTTGGAGGCAGAGATGATACAGTTTATTCTCACATTTTTTTTTTCTTTCTGGCATGTTGTTGTTATGTGTCATCAAGTCATTTGTGACTCATAGCGACCCTAAACAAAAGCCCTAAACACCATTCTATCCTGTGCCAACCTCGTTGTCTCAAACACACTCATTCCCACCACTCCACTCACAGAGTCGATCCATCTCATCGAGGGTCCTCCTCTCTTGCACCGTCCCTCCACTCTCCCAAACATGATGTCCCTCTCCAAGGACCAGTCTCTCCTTGCAACATATCCAAAGTATGTCAGAGGAAGCTTCAGAATCCTTGACTCCAAGGAGCACTCTGGCTTCACCCTCTCCAGGACATAACTGTTTGTTCTCCTAGCAGTCCATGGTATATTCAACACTCTTCTCCAGCACCACAGCTCAAAGGCATCAATTCTCTTTCTATCATCCCTAGTCACTGTCCAACTCTCTGATGCATAGCATGTAACTGCAAAGCCAATAGCCTGAATCAGACACACCTTAGTCTCCAGCCTGACATCATTGTTCTTCATGTTGTTAGGAGAGGCTATTCCTTAGAAAGGAAAACCACACTTGGAAAAGTGAAGGGTTGGTGAAAGATGAGACTTTCAACCAGATGGAGTGACACAGTGACTGCTGTAATGGACTCTAGTGTGTCAGAACTAATGAGGCTGGTACAAGATAGGGTTAGTTTTGGATCTGTTGTTCATAGCATCACTATTACCTGTTTCAAAGGCACCTGAAAAGAACAACTTCTTGGCAGCTGTTGTCGTCTATTGACCAGGAGATGTACTGCTAATCTGAAGGCATGCTGTTTGAATCCACTAGCTGCTACGTGGGAGAAAAAAAGGGCAAACTCTTCCCATGTGATTTACTGCTTCTGAAAATTTGCCAATAAGAACAACAACTCCGCTACTTCTTTAAATAATTCAGCGTTAATTATTTTTGGTCCAGTGACTCTGTATTATTCCTTTAAAATTCTTTTGAAGTTAAAATGGCGCAGAAGGCACCTGCAAAAAACACAGTCTCTCAAATTAATGGAATACCAGCCGAAGTGTTTCAACTAACAGATGCAGCCCTGGAAGTGCTCACTACTTGCCTATGTAGCAAAACAATTTTTAAGACAGTTACATGCCTCCTTCAGAGGCAATGAATCTAATCGCAGGGAAGGAAATCGGCCGTGCTTGTCTCGCGGAGCAGCTGGTGGATGCAAACTGCCTGCTTTACAGATTGCTGCACTGCTTAGTACCACTGGCTACCAGAGCTCCCTCTACATTGGACTATAAGATCAGGTGTTATTTTCATGACAAGATTACAGAAAAAGAAATGAATATTAAAGTAGATTGTGGATGGGGGGTGGGAGGGATTGTGAAATAATTAAATATATTTTATTTTTCTTTAAAGAGAAAAACGAACAGAGGAAGGAGTGGGCAGGGAGGAAAATGTGCAACAATGTATGAATGGGGGAAAATTAAATGGAAAGAACATGCTGTAAAAAATATGTATGTTGAATTAAAAATAATTAATAAAAACAATTAAAAAAGGAAAATAGTTTCCACTTTTATTATTAAATAAGAGCTATCTGTTCTGTTCAGACCCAACCTTAACACCTTCCCACTCTCCACTGTAAAGCAAAGTTCAAGCCATACATATGATGTTGTTGTTGATTGCCTTCTGGCACAGCTCATAGCAACCTTATGAACAAAAGACCTGAGCTTCTCTACAACGTCCGACCTTTATCAAAGTTCATGGAGTTTCTGGAGGCATATGGTTTAGGAAGTGGATGTCACTCATGCTTACAAACCTGTCTTAAACTGTGAGCTCCACCTATCACTGTCCACCCTGGGCAGCCATTATGGCATTTGACCCCTCAATCCCTACACAAGGTTCAGCATCACAGCAAACCCAGATTACCTCAGTGCAGCAAATTGACGGAGTGCTGCACAACACGCATACATATCCTCATTCTGTCTTTTTCCCTGTTTCTGTCTCTCTAGAGAACCCTGGCGACCAGGACACATAGCCACGTGCGGCTCTATGTGGGCCCCAGTGTCTTGACTTCCCAGACACTGGAATTGGGGCGCAGATGTGGCTATCTTCCTCATAAGTGGAAGTTATTTAAAAGTAACTATGAGGCAAAATTATTTTAAAAAGCAATCAGTTGCATTTGGTACTGAATATATCTTAGCCCAGTGTTGTAAATCGTGCAATAGAGATTAAAAAAAAATGTGTAAACCCATTTTTAATCAGTACTTGATTTGATAATGCTAAAAACATGCATTTGGCTTAGAAAATACAGTTTTGATAAAATAGTAAACTTTACAAAATAGTTTGGGGGCTTAATTTCAAACAAAGAAACAAAAAACATAATTGAGCCCTATCCAGTGCCTAACTAATTTGCATTTGAATAGATGGCGATCCACCCTGGCAGGCTGTAGAATAAAATACACATTTAAGAGAAAGAACAGAAGAGAAAAAAAAGAAATTTAACTTCTTAAAATAAGAGCTAGCAGTTTGTCTCTGTTTAACTAAAAATGAAACCTGGATTTACAGATGCAGATATTAAAAACTCCAACTAAAACAAAATATTCTTCAGAAAAGTAATAGTTTGATAGTGAAAAATTAGAAATAGGCTAATATTAAATACATATAAATGCAAATATGTGTGACAATACATATGTGTTTGAAGGATAGTACACCTGGAATTTAGAAATAAAAATCTTTTGCTAAAAATCTTTTTTTTGTTTTGCGTTTTCAGAAACTAGTTAAAGGAGAAATAGTTCTTAAAAAAATATAGTACTTCAAGAATAGAGCAAATTATAATTCAAATGCTATTAAAAAAATTCTTTACCCAGTAGCAAATTACAATAGTGTGTTATATATAGAAATAAGATCAGTCATTGTTTTCAAGCCTGCTAAATAAAACTGAGCTCTTGGAATGGCATGTCACTTGACCTTCCAGGGTTTCAACAGCAGTATTTAACAGATGCACACGGAAAGGTCTGCTCTTCCAAGTGTCTTCTGTTGGTATGACAGATTCTCCTATTATTTCACACAATGTTCAAAAGACACAAGTCTCTTCCTTCAGAACGCAAGAAAGAACTACTTTCCCGAGGAACTTCAGGGTCCATATTGAAGAATGATATGAGAGATTTTCATTCTTTGTCCCAACTTATACTCTCAGCAGGCCCTTTGAAGGCGACTCCAGCTATCAAAAATTCAAAAACTATTCACTTTGAGATTGAAATACTTGATGCTCAAACAAGAAAGCAGATATGTATTGTGGATAAGGTAAGTTTTATTTATTTCATTTTTAATTATTTTCATTTGCCCTAAGACTACTGATGTCTTTATTGAATGTTGATTATAACTGTTGTTTTGTGCCCTCAAATTTACTATGACTCTAGTGACTTTATGAAAAACAAATGATTGATAGGACCCTATTAAAATTAATTTTCCTTCTTTATTTCTAATTTTATGATAAGTAGCACAACTATTTTTTGCATTGCTTCATATAAGATGTGCTACATTTTTCATATTCAGTGTTAGTGGTAACTAATAATTAGATTTTCTTTTACCTGTAAATGTGTGCCATTGTTTAGAGGTAAAATTTCTAGTCTATGAGAATAAATAATCTGTTGTAATGATTTAATTTAATAATGATTTTAATAATATACTATAAATCCCATTATAATAAAATGATCCTCTAGTTTTAATACTTATAGAATATAGAAATCCATAGTTACTGAAGTTAAATTAGAATGATTTAAGAAATAGAACATTTATCAATTAAAATTAATTCTGAACCAACTTATCTTAAAAAAAGACATCCTTTACACAAAAAGTTTCCTTTGCTTTCAAACAACATGTAAAAAAAAAAAGAAAAAAAAAGAAAGCCTTGAATTATATACTAGTTCCTATTTGTCATATTCAGTTATTTCACTGGGTAAAGTAAAATGTGGATTTTTCAATTTAAAAATTAAACCAAAACATATTCATACTTTCAATGCACTTGTTGGTATGTGCCATCAGGTCACCTGTGACTGATAACTACCCTATGCACAATAGCTCTGAAGCCTTTCTTATCCTGAGCCAATCTGACTGTTCTAAAACACCTATCCTCATTACCCCAGTCAAATATATGTTGTTATGTTCAATCAAGTTGCCTGCGACCCAGAGAGACTCTTTTTACGGCAGCTCTGAAGCCTGCTCTGTCCTGAGCCAGTCTCACTGATTCCTACACACCAACCTCCACTGTTCCAGCTACTGTGTCAGTCCATCTCACCCTAGGACTTCCTCTCCTGCTCTGTCCCTCCACCCTTCTGAGCATAACTGCTTCCCTAATGAACGGTCCCTCCTGACCACATGCCCAAAATATATGAGACGGAGCTTCAAAATCCTAGCCTCCAAGGAGAAATTATAACACTGACTTTCCTATGTTGTTGTTGTTGTTGTTGTTATGTGCCGTCGAGTCGTTTGCAACTCATAGCGACCCTGTGTACAACAGCCCTAAACCCTGCTCTATCCTGTGCCAATCGCATTGCCTCTGACACACCCATCCCGATTATCCGAGTCAATGGCTTTCCTATGATTATTTCTATTATTATTACTAATTTTAATGAAAATTTGCAGAGATTTTGGGTTTCCATTCATTCATTGTTGCACTTTTCTCCCTGGCCACCTCTCGCCTCCAGGTGGTTCTTCTCTTTGAAAAGAAAAAGAAAATTTTTTTTCATTGTTATAAAATCCCTCCCCACAAGTCCACTTCACTATGCAGCCTTCGTTCTGGACTCATATCATGACAATAAGACCTAATCATATATAAGGTATTTTTAACAATTCTCTTCCTGATCTGTTTCAATGCAGCATACATAATTTATGCCATCTTGCTCAGTCTCCTATGACTATTTCTAATCTCTCTTCTTAAGTAAGAAAAAATACATACTGCTTTAAATACCAAACACATTAGATACACTTTTTTTTTTAGCAATTACACTATGATGCACAGTCTAGTTGGAAAACTAATTTCTATTCCTCAATTGAAAAAATATTTAGGGTGGTCTCAATTTTTTATAAATTATAATTGGTAGAGTTGAGTTTAGGGCTGTTGTACATAGGGTCGTTATGATTCGCAAGTGACTCGACGGCACATAACAACAACAACAAAAATTGGTAGAGGAGAGAGTCCAAGCCACTTCTGTGTAGTTTTATGTGGTTATGTGTGGTGTTTGGTGTTGGGTTTTGTTGGCTTTTATTGTTGATTTTTATTGTATAATACTGTTGGGGCTATATACAAATGATAAAAAATTATTTGAGTTGCTAATCATGGCCAGCTCATATGCGCAGAATAATATTCCATATGATTTTCAAGGCTATGATAGATAATGAAATCTAAAGGTTTTTGGTTAATGATTCAGCACTTAACTATTTAGAACAGAGGTCTGAATAAATGTCACAGTAGTCTAACCATTGGGCTACTAATCAAAAGATTGTCGTTTCCAATCTACCAGTGACTAGGAAAATGATAAGGCAGTCCAGTCCCATTAAGATGTTGTTTGCTTTTGTTATGGGTAGTAATGTCAACTGTGGCTCATAGTGACCCTATGAACAATAGATCATAGCTGAACCTGGCTCTATCTTTTGTCATACTCACCATCTCGAACACACTTGGATCCAAAGTTATAGTCTCCTTGTCAATCCATTTTTCTGTTTTTATCCTCTTTTCTGCTGATACTCCAATTTCCAAATATGATGTTCTTTTCCATGGACTATTCCCTCCTAAGAACATGCCCAAAGTATGTGAGACAGTCTCATTATCCTTGCCTTCAAGGAGCAATCCTGGCTTTACTTTCTTAAGAACAGACCTGTTCATTCTTTTTGACAATCCACGAGATGTTCAGTACTCTTCTTTAACACCACAACTCAAAACTATCCGTTCTTTATCTGGTATCCTTGGCTATTGTGTCACATTCAGATGACTAGCAAGCAATTGAGACCATGATTTGAATCATATGCATTTTTGTCTTCAAACTGTTATCACTATTCTTCAATAGTCTGGAGAGGTCACTGACAGCAAACTTTTCCAATGCCATACCTCTTTTGATTTTTTTTTTTAACTGCTGGTACGAATGGTGTTGATTCTGTGTCCATGTAAAATGAAATTGGTTTAAGACTCCAAAACCTGACAATAAGTCACCATGAATCAGTATCAATGCAATAGAAGTAGATATTGGCATTGCAATTTTAAACCAAACTAAATCAAACTCACTGCCATTGAGTTGATTCTGACATATAATGCAACTCCACTGGATTTCTGAGGCTGTAAGTCTTAACAGGAAGAAACTGTCATCAGAGCTGCTGGTGAGTTGGACTAATGACCTTTCCACGTTTAGCCAAACACTATCAACTCCCTCATCTTCCATATTTGGAAGATATCATCAGGAAGAAAATCCATAGAGAGAAACATCATGCTTGGTTAGTGACAGAAGATGAACGGATTCTGTGGTTGCAGCATTCTAATACAGCAATAAGGTAATGTTTCCTTCTATTATACATAGGTTGTTCTGAGTTGAAGCTAACTTTTGGGACATATAACAGCAAAAGTGCAATTTTATCTTATAAATGTCACACATACACTCTATTTTAGTATCACAATATTTTTTTAATTTTATGCCTATATCATAGAGAAATAAGTTAAATATAAAAGATAAAATCAGCTTCAGTCTGTTAATGTTTGTAATATCTCAGTACAATAGATAGATGTTATGTTATGTAATATTATGTACCCTCAGGTAAAACCAACTAACAGCTGACTCTCCAGTGGGTGTTTTGAGTTTATAAAGCATGCAAAAGGAAATTGCCCATCTTTTCCTGCTCAGCAGCTAGTGAATTCTAACTGCACATCTTTGGGTTGACAGCCAAATCGTTACCACTAAGCCAACAGAGCTCCCCTAAAATTAGATAGACAGATAACATTTACAGTGAAGATCACAATTAAATCAGGGAAAATAGAGCAATGAACTGAACAAAAATTAGTGTGGTCAAGGAAGGATTCACCAAGTTGAAGATTTCAAAATAAGACTATGTATACTGTTGTTTCAATCCTGATAACATACTCCTCCTCATAAAGTCCAGCCTCTCATATGATCTGTTCCACATATAGATTGGAAATGTATGAAGACAGGATGTTTCCCTAATGCACTCCTTTCCTAATTTTGAACCACCCATATTTCCTTGCTCTGTTCCGATGACTGCTTCCTATTCCAAGTATAGATTTCATATAAGCACAATCAAGTGTTCTGGAAGTTTTCTCAAGGTTAGCCACAGTTTGTTGTGAGCCACACAGTCAAATGATGTACAGATAGACATTCCTCTGGTACTCTTTGCTTTTAGCCATGATCCGTCTGACATTGATGATAATGTCTTTAGTGCCATCACCTCTTCTATATCCAACTTGTATTTCTAGTAGTTCTCTGTTAATGTACTGTTCCAGTTAATTTTGGATAATCTTCAGCAGGATTTTGCTTGTGTTGGTATTAGTGATATTGTTCAATACTTTCCACTACTCTGTTGGATCACGTTTGTTAGTTGGCCAGGTAGTTGTCTTCTAAATTTCTTGACACAACAGGGTGAACACATCTGGCCAGCATCTGTTTGCTGAAATATGTCAGTTGATATGCCATCAACTCCTGGAATCTGTGTCAAGCCAATACCTTCAGAGCAGCTTGAAATTTTGATCATATGTTGTTTCATGAAATTCTTCTGTGTCAGCGAATTCTTTTTGGTACAGTGACTCTGTATACTCCTTCTATCTTCTTTTAATGCTTTCTAGATTATTGAATATTCTTCCCAAAGCATCTTTATCTATTAAAACTCAAGGCTTGAATTTATTCTTCAGTTCTTTCAGCTTAAGAACTTTGGGCATGTGGCCAGGAGTTACCAGTCCTTGGAGAAGGACATAATGCTTGGAAGGGTAGAGGGACAACACAGTAGAGGAAGAACTCTCATGAGATGGATTGACAAAATAACTGGAGCGGTGAGAGTGTCCAGTCAAGTGAGGTTAAGGTTTAGAGTGACCTTATTGTCGCTATGAGTCACAGGTGACTTGAAGGCACATAAAAACAATGCCCCATTTCCGATTTATGTTAAAAATTTTAAAAACATTCAACCTGCAATAATGAGTTGGGAAATGAATAACTTTTGAAAATTTTATTTGAAATTAAGATAACAGTATTTTGCATTTTTAAATATAATAAAGTAAAAAAAAATATTAAGCAACCAGAGAGTTAGAG